GACTCTCACTGGCAACAGAGAAGGGAAATCCTCGCAATTCTCCAATAATAGTTGCATCGCTAATGCTATCTGGAGATCCCTCACCATATAGGGGGGAATTGCATCCTGGTATGCAGTAGGCACTTAAGAAAATTAGTTGAAAGAATATTACGGCTAGTAAAAATAATTGAATAATTTTAATATGGGGCTTTACATTCCTGTTTATTATATTTTTTAATCCTTCCGTGTCAACTCGAGTTTGGCAAATCCCAGGATGAGTAATTGTGCATCTCAGAATAGTTAGGTAATACACAGACCAGACCCTCAGTCAGGCAGAGGAAGATGTGTTTTGGCAAGAACTGGCGAAGAGATAAAGTGTTTGATTATTGTTGTTGATAGTTCCCAAGGAGAGAGTAAACAAGCAACAGAAATAAATCAAACACTTTTGTCTTTGTTTAGGCAAATATTTCCAACTACAGCCTGGTGATGGAGTCTGATGCGGGAACCTTCTTACCCTCTGGGCTGCAATTCACTGGCAGCGAAAAGGCCAGAGCCATCATGAAGGAGGTCATGAGCCTGCTGCAGCCCATCAACGTCACACAGGTCTTCAGTGCTGGCGAAGGGACAGACATCAACTTCTGGATCCAAGATGGAGTGCCTGGTAAGACCAAGTGATAATGTTGGGGTTCCTTAGATGCTGCTATAATTTAAAATAAGTTTCTATTCTTACACACCACAGTGAATACAGATAGGCCATTAAATGTGTGGATACTCTAAGCTTTTTGTCTATAAGGTATAATCTGGTCATTTCCAAACTTGGGATGATAATACTCACTTGTATTTGTTTACCCATATGTCTTCTCTTTCTAAATTATAAGTTTCTCACTGCCAGAGATTATGACTTAATGATTCTGGAATTGGGCCTAGAAATATCTCTCTCTCTCCCTCTCTTTTTAATATGTATCTTTCGTGATTGTAGTAAAAGTGATTTCACAATCAAAATTTGAGAAATGGAATAGAAAACAATTATTTCTACTAATATACTTCTAGCTCTAGTCCTGTGCTAGGAAATCTTCTCTGACCCAAATAATTCCTTGCCCAAATACAATGGTTTCAGAAATTTTACCATTAGAGATTTATTCTTTGAGAGTGGGATATTTCCTGCTGATTTTTTTCTAATGTAGCATATTTCAACCAGTGTGCCACAATAATTTTTAAAACATACAATACCTGAGTATGTAGTCAGGATCAAGGACCTCTTTTCCCTTAGAATGTCAAATAAAAAAAAATGACAACAGGCAACACAATAATAGCCATCTGATGTGAATGAATCAAAATTATACCTATTTTTGTCAGATTGGCAAAAAAAATATTTTTTTGGTATGCCGCAGAATTTTATTAGTTTATATGTGCCATGAGATGAAAAAGGTTGAAAATTGCTGTTCTAATGCAAAGACTCATGTATGAGCTTGAACAGAAACTAATTTACCCTTCTCAGTGACTTATCAGATTGATCTTTTTAAAAAAAAGTCCTGGGCAGGGATGAAATTATGTAGCAGGAGTAGGCCTGAGGAGGTTATAGGACTAGAAAGTGGAACAATCTTGAAGACAAATGTCTACTACTTCACAAATTTGCCCTACACTGGCCATGGGAAAGGGTTATTGATGATGCTAAGTATTTCTGACCTGAGGTTGTTCCCTTAACACCATTATTTACATAACCAAAAACATGGTTAAAGATTTGCAAATTATTCTGTGTTTGTATTATCAAGTTGTAAGTTCAGCTTTTTAAATAGTCTTAACATTACTGTTTCCAGAACCATTTCTGTGGCTACAAAACATTTCACAGGTTAAAATAAACAAAAGTGTCTCTATATCCACCCACTCCAGCTTTTTTCCTTCAGCCTGCAAAGTAGGTTCCACCAACAGCATACTTGATGGATCTGCAATATTTAAAAAAATTATTATTGATATATTGTAGATTTTTAAAGCATATCTTAGATTTTAAGGTTTATAAAAATCTTTCATAATTAAAGGTAGAAGGAGCTATCCTTTATTCTAATACCCAAATTCTCTCCAGTGGTTTTTGTATGGTTTTTGTCTTGGTTTGTGTTTTTTTTGCTGCAAAAAGCTTTATTGTTTCATTTGGCCCAGTGCATGGGAGAGGGCTTCAGGGTGGTTAAAAGAATGGCTAGTAGTTTCGGGAAGAGGCTCAGGTAAAAGCCAGACCCCAGGGGAGGCAGAGGGGCCCCTCCAAGGCCTCTGGGCTCCACAGGCTCCTGGTCGTGCTGGAGGGTGAGCCTTTCGGAGAGATGCTCGCCCAGCCCAGCCCAGCGGGCAGCCTGCGGAGGGGG